GTGCCAATTTTAGACCTTTAATCGGCAGACCTTCGGTACTATCACCCATATTTAGCAATGTTACATCTTGTGGATATTGTTCTGCTACGTGTTCTAACCATTCATAGATGGTTTCTAGATGATAATAATGTTTCCAACCAAAATGCTTCAAATTTGTAGTTTTAGGCTTAACCTCTAGCATATTCTTGTCAATCTTTTCTTGGAAATTGTAGGTCTAAAATAAGTTATTCACTTTAGTGATCAACGAATTTAATAGACATGTAAAATTTGGGAAGTTCCACTTACCAGAACGCGATGCTTAACTTTGTACGTCATGAGCAAGTCTGCAAAATCTGAAACTTTATGAGCTGCAACCATAATGGTCAACTTTTGCTTTGGTCGCAAGGCATGCCCATAGAAAGTACAGCTGTCACTCTGCTCCTCAAGGTCTTGGAAGAGTTTGACATGCTCTTCACTATCTAACTCAACATAGTACATACGGTAGTGATCGTAACGAGCCTGATTAACGTAGGGCTCCACACATTTATCATCCTTAGTACAGAACGCGGCATTTTCACTTTCCGTTATGCATAAAAACAGCAAAAATATTACAGCATTTAAAATAAAATTAAATCTTTTGACATTTTGCGACATTTTTATATGCCTTAAATATATAAATTCTACACTTAACACTTGGTACAATAAGAATGCTTATAAAATATATAAATTAAGCTCAGATTGTGATACACTTTTGACGTCTCTTTTATTTTCAGTTATTTTTGATTTTTCCAGGCTTGCCAGGCTTATACATTTAAAAAAAATAAAACTAATTTTTTTATTAAATATATAGAAAAAACTAATTCTTTAGAAAAAAGATTGCAGATGACTTTACTGAATTAATTAAAAATAATCACATTAGAATTCTTATAATAACATTCGAAAACTTTTGTTTGGTAATAAATATTTATATGACATGTGGTGACCCTGTATAGTGTAAACAGATAAGAATATTATTATTACGCAATCTGAGATTTTAATCTAAATTTAAAAATCTTGTTCCAAAATTTAGCCAAAAGCTGTAGTAGCATTGATTTATTGTGTCTGGTTGGTTTGCTTTAAAAGACGAACAATTTTTTTTGGCGTGGTATTCACAAATTGCCAGAAAGGTGGTCAAAATGTGTAGAAAGCAATGGCCAATACTTTGAATAAAATGTTTTTTACTTTCCTATTAATAATTAGTGTTTTATTTTCACAAAAAAACGCTCATTTCATACCGGTACACCTGGTATATAAAAAAAAACAACATCACACAAAATCAACATCAAACAAAACAAATCAAAGGAAATTTGGTTATTTCATATTTAAACATAAAAATAAACAGGACTTTTAAACTCATTGGTGACGAAAAACTGACTGACTATGTTTGGAAAATTGCCAAATATTATAAATATCATTACATATAAAAATATGTATAAAAAATATTAAAAAAAATTATTTGAATACGTGCATGCCAAAAAAATTTTAAATACGTAAGGTACCGAAAAGTATGTACAGTACTTATAAAAATATACGGCAGCTTTCATATATAGATGGCACTAGTATTTTATGAAGGAAGTATACGGTAATTAATTATTTCAATGATTTTCAAACTGTTTGAAATAATGTTTGATAACACGGTAAAACAACATTCCTCAAACTGCACATTTGTTGCCAAAAATTAAATAAAATTTGAAATAATATTATAAGTTTTAATATTAAAATGTATTGTTGTAAATTATATATTATGTGAATATTGTAAGTATAAATATAGATTTATCTTTATGTTACTGTTGAGAGCATTTAATAAGTAAATTTTCAATAATATTGCTATATGATGAACTACTAAGAGACTGTCGTAGCCACTATTCAACTGTAGTCTCATCAACCTTTAATTAAAAAATTGTTATTAAAGTGTACATCAAAGAACGAAAAGATCTTTATGATACAATTTTCTCTCTTAACAGAAACAGCTGACCAACAAATTTATTAAAAAATCTAGTCGTAATACCCAAAGCTGATAATATAACGAATTTAATAATATACTTGAATAGCCCCCTAACTCAACACAAACACATTGAAGCCAAAAAAAAATTCAAATAAGAGAGGAAGTTTCTAAACAAACATTAAGTACCCATTACTTCTAGAATTTATGGTCCTACAATTCAATACAAGATATCATATCATGCAATTGAAGATTTTGCAAAATTTTACAAAGAGGGCAGTCAAAAATTTTAAAAACCATCACTGCCTAAAATAATGAATTCATTAAGACATTATTACTGTGAGAACAGATTTCAATGACGTAGGATGAAGATGTACCAAAAATATCAAAGAAAACGTTAATTCCTTAGCCTGAAACTAATCACTACATTCTTGTTTTTATCCTATAATTTT